TGGACAAGTTTCATACTGGCGTCGGCCAACTTGAATTCTTCTTTGGAGTTCTCTGAAGACCTTGAGAGGTTCAGAATGAAGTCTACATAAAGCAGGCAGGGTAAGTAGTCCCATTTATGTTCTGTCAATGATTCTGCCAACGGACTGTAGTCAGAATCTCTTCTAGGATGTGAATAACTTTGATGATATAGCGTCTCTGTGCCAGACACTCCTTTGGATTTTGAATATGTTAGCATGAATTCTTATAATCATGTGAATTCAATAAAGAACAGATATAGACTCAATCGAAAGCCTTCTTATAAGTGATGAACCCCTTGCAAAGATGAAACTGATATTCGCTACTAGCTTGAAATACTTGTTGCATCACTTAGAGATGATCTATCTACTGAATTCACTTCTGAATCCTGTTTGCTCCCTCGGTTGTGCAGCATCCAGCTTTTTACGTCTGTTCGTTGATATTTTTGTGAAGATCATGTAGATGATTGAAAACAAACAACTGATCCACCTGTTGTTCTTTAGATCTTCTTTTCTGCCTTTTCTCGGCAGCTAAATTTTCTGAAATTTTCAGTTCTCATAACACGGTTCAACGATAGATTCTGCGAGTTCTACTGTAATGCCATCTTCGCTTTTCCTCGTTTTGACGTCCTCATGTTTTATTGAACGCCGCATTTCTTTTTGCGCAACATTTAGTAAACTAGTTTTCTACCTTCAGGTTCCTTGGTCCCCTCTGATATTGCTGTTTTCATTTTCATCTTTTTACAGTTTTCTGTAGAAATCGTCCAATCGGTTTAAAATCTCTTGTATGTTCCGGATAACAGTCCCATCTTCTGCACTAAGCGTTAAAATTCGTCGCTTCCTGGCCAGCGATCCTTGGCTTGCCTTCGGCTGTCTTCACTAGATTCGTTTACCAATCTGCAGCTGATTGTTCGAACGTATTCTTATGTCAATTTTTTTAAATGTTTTGCAAAGCTGCCCCTATTCGATCTCTGCTGTTTTCACTTCCGTTCGTTTCTTCATGAGTTCTTTCATTTGCTCTGTCATTTTACGGTCGACCTTCATAATCGCTCTTTTCAGATATGGTTGCCTCCGTCTCTATAACTGTAACTTTCATCATATGCTGATTCATTACGTCGAGTCTACAGCTTCTTCTTATGTTCCCTGAAGGACGTCGAATTGGTTATTTAACCTGAGTTGGAATAGCGTTACCATGTCGCATATCACAAACGTCAAATTACCCAGCACACCAAATCTAAGCACCACAAAGGAAAGAAATAAAACTTTTAGAACAAATAGACACGAAAATTTACCATCTTCGACCACACATTGCGAAAAGGCAACAAGCAGATGATCAGTACTTTACAACGTACTGTTCCCGACCACTCACAAAAAAAAGCAGAGGCAGATCCAAAATTCATGGCCAGAAATTACGCGCAGAATGTTCACAACGATGGTAGTGGGTTACAATTACCAATCCCAGCCGAGAATTGCAATCCCGCCCTAGTATAAAGATTGGTCTGAAATGATACTAAGCATCGCGAATATGAGTGACAAACTGGCGAACCACTAGGATATCAAAGGCACTTGAAACTCTGTTACTCCAAAACGTAAAGTCAACGTTGCTTGACAATAAACTCATTCGTGCAGTTGCCGATTGGCATCAAAAGGTCTTTCAATGGCATTCCGAAAATAACTTGTAACTTAGTGGAATTTCTGCCAAAATACTGAACTGATTGATCCAGGCTACAGCTGTTAAAGAATGCTTAGAATATGAGTACGATAGACAGAGTTCAAGCCACGCGAATACGATTCAGTGAAAAATATCAGAAAGCAAACACGCTAACTTCAATAAATCTAAAATAAAACACCTGGAAGTGCGATACTTTAGGTTTTCTACACTACAGCAAATCAATTGATATTTACGCTACCCGATGAATAATTCAGTCACAAGAGTTCGAAAAACATTGCACGATTGATTACACGGAAAACCTACTCTAAGACTGTTAAAAAATGTGCCAATAAAAATATGGCATGAATGAATATTAAAAGAAATTTTGGACTAATAACCAACTGAAACCGAATAACTGAGCAAATAATACAGTACAGGCAAAAGCAAGAGTGAGCCGTCAGATTAGAAGAAATAATGAGAGGACCGTAGAATTCTGGAATATTAACGAATCAAAAACTTGAAAACTCATTTACACAATGATATAGCATATTGAATTTCTTGTATGCATATTTTCTTCGTATCCAACGTTTTCCATAATTAAAAATCTGTTATTAGGGAGAGATCGTACATGTATTGTTACAGTACAAATTAATATAGTTAGGTACCACGTCAATTGTAAAAGTTTCAGTCTCGATAGTGAACTACTTCGTAAATTCGTTTCAGCTTCTGGCTTTGGTCAGCACGTAAGGAATAATGATGCTGAGGTTGAATTCCTGTTTTCCACTAATTGTTCTTAATTTTTATTCTCTTTTCCTGATTGCTTATTGCTTCATTAATTAGCCGTCAATGATAGCCACTGATTCGACGTCAGCATTATGTTGCAACAAGGAGCAGGGGGTGCAGTGCAATCCCCTGAAAATTTGTCTTTGATTACTTCTAACTCATCTAATTACTTTCTCAATATTGTATTCATGCATTGTTTTCTTCCTGAAAAAATAACATCAATGCAGTTTACTTATACACAACGTAAAAGATGTTGTGGTTATCCTGTGGCTGATGAATATGGACGTTTCGGCCCGTGTCTCACTGGCCTTTATCACGATAAGTTGGTCGTGAAGTTTCGTGCATGTGGTTTGATCGTCGCAGAGGTCGGCACTTCTTGAGTCAGAAGGCCGCAGTATCATTGGCTGGGTGACAAGTAAATCACGTCCTACGTAATTTTTCAGTATGACCACTATTGCAGAAATACTCTACATTCTTTTCTTCCCTTGATTTCATTTATTTTGCATATCCTAGAAAGAGTTTATAGAATGCTTTGTCAAATTTAGTGTCTTATTTATTATGCTTATATTGCCATATTATTATGCGGATGCAGAAATATTATCCAGTGATAGTTTAACATAGCACTCACTAATTTCAACAGTACTCTTCATGATTGATTGAAGATTTTAAGAAAGCATATCTGCTGAGAATAGCTCATATACAGCAAGGTTCTCCTGGACTACTTCAACATTGGTAGTGGGCCGAGCTATTCCGTAGGAAACTCACATTTCAAAACCTGTGTCCTTTGTGAGAAAGAAGTAAGCTTGATAGTGCTCTCAGCAGCTTTTCGCAAGAGCCATTGACTGAATAAAAGCAAGAAATACTACAACATTTACGGTATTTATGAAGAGCACAAACAAGTGGTCAATGCGATGATCGGCCAGTACCCGATGCTTCGGCCCGTGTCCAACGAGCCTATTACAAGGAGCGAAGCTCGTCTTCTGGTTCTACGCGTATCAACGAGTGAGAATGACAAAAGGACTTTCGAAATCAGTCAGTCGACCTATTTACCTTGAAGAAAACACGTGAAACTTGGGCCAAAATATCCATACGGTCATTCATCCGATTCACCATATTGTTGCGTTGCGCATAAATATACCAATTTACGTAAAATTTTCGGTACGATAAAGTACTCAAATATGATTAAGCTTTAGCTTTTTTCCTTACCATAGGTAACAACTTGAATATTGATAAATCACTTTTTGTAAAGACAGAAGTCATCGAATGCACACCACTTTGTGACACTGAGAAGCATCGACTGTCAGCCATCAGCACCTGCTAACCTGAGATATCGCTCTCTGGTTCATGCCGCAATAATCCTTCGACGCTAGCAATAATAATGAAGGCAGAAAGATCAGTACGTCAATGAAGCAAACTTCCTATTGGAATGATCCGTTTGTTCCGCCTTTTTGCTCAATAAACTAGGTCACAAGCATAGAAAACTTCTTAAAAATAAATGAACATGAAGTTCAACATTAATTTTCGGTAGAGTCAGATGTTCTTTCTTCTCGTTATCTAAGAACACGTTCTCAAAGGTTGGATCAATTTTGTTTACTTTGAGGGGGGCAGGAGCACGTGAATTTATGACTTTTCGCTAAAGATTTCAAAAATGGAAATTTCAGAGTAACATTATAGCTTATTGCAAGATGTAGAGCAATGAAAGTTAAATTTTTATTATTATATTCATGCTATTCCCTGCTGGTTCTATTCTTCTTACTTTACGTACGGTCAGTAACCCCCC